TCAAAATTGATAAGTTCCGAGAGGCGGAATTTTCCCATATTTATAAAGTTTCTTGTTAATTTACAAATTTAGATGCATTTAGAATCGTGGATAATAATTAGCATATCGTTCTGGGCTTAAGCGACGTCATCCTACCCCAAATCTTATCTTCCAACTGACGAACACTATTAAAACCCAGATATTACATATTTAACTTTGTGTAATTCAGGTAAATTCTGACGGTGGTCTGAAACTCGAATTGCATGTGGACCAAATGTTCAATCTGAAAGCAGCTCACGGGCCGAAATTTTTAACCAAAATGAAAAATTTTGCAACAAAAATTTTTTTAACTAAATTTTATTAAAGTGTTTATCAGAACTTGCATAAACGGTAACAACAGCAAAACAAAAATTCAAATTTATATTCATTTTAGGTCAGAGATCTAAAGGTCGGATTCTGCAAGAAATTTTGTTACTCTTTGTAAATCCAACGTATTGACAGCTAATTATTAGATTTTCAGACTGACATTTGTTTCAAGTTATTCTATTGTATTGATCACTAAACTGACTTTCAACTTGAACTAAAAATAAATTACGAAAATTATGTGGAATAAAACTTCGGAATAAATAATGGAAGTCTATTATCTTTTATTTACCAAATTTTAATTGGACGCATTCAGAAAAAATACGTATATTTGTATATAAATGATTATAAACTTTATTTCAACTACAATTCATGTCGTTTCGATTGCGATAAAAATTTTATTTTGCAGAAAAATTGCTAGAAATTATCTGTATCACGAATTAAAAGATGCTCATAAATCTGTCTGGATCCTTTTAAGACTTATTTTCGATTGCGAAAAAAATATTGTTTATATACAAGTGTATTCCCAAACAAAGCGATTATTTTCATTGCAGAAACTAATAACTTGAGTGAAAGGTACGTAAAAGGTTAACCAAATTTTCGAATCTCTGAATGAGATATATCACTGTGAATTAATTAGCTCTATTTGTAGATACTTCAGTTGGGTTATTGAAGTTTATTTTTAATGGTAATGTAAACAGTGCAAAATTGAACTAAATATCCTTCAAATATTAAACCTTTCTTCAAATTCTTATACAAGGTGATACCGAAAACTAAGGTGACTGCTGTCATAACTGTATCATATATAGATGTTACGGTGAAACACCGAAATCTGGAGAATGTCGACTTTCACCGGTGAATGTCAACATTCACATAGTCTCCTGGTGTATGTCCGAAATATTTTCCAAATACTGTTATTTCTGACTTACACCGGTCAATGTCGACATTCACCATGTACTAATAGTGAATGTTGAAATATAACAATATTTTCTCCGTAATTCAGTCGCGAATAAACGCATTTGAGACTTGAAATAAGAACTTAAGAACATGAGAACCTAAAACACACAATACATTCAAAATGAGAAAGGAAAATAATAGAAGTTAAAAACTTACTTAATTATACAGTGAATAAGAAACTGAGAAAATAAAATAACAGAAATAAACTTACTAAATTATGTGATTCAAATCTTATTTATTGCAACAACTTAAACTATTATGGCACTTTATGACCTCTCTTTTCGACTTTCACCAGAGCATATCTGTGATTGTCGACATACACCGGTGAGGGTCCGAATATACAAGAATGTAGTGAAATATTCGGTCTTTCACCGACGTATTTGGTGAATGTTGATATTCTCCGGTGAAAGTCGACATTCTCCAATTTCGGTTTTTCACGGTAACATATATATAAATATATCACTATCCTTCAAATTAGTTTTCACCGTCTACAGTACACTTCTGACAACGTTCATAAAAGTTCTGGAAACTTTTGAAAAGTCCTTCTTTGAGACACTTAAGTTCCATGGCAGCAGCAGCTCCAATGTCTGAGATGCTTGAAAATCGGTGTTCCTTTAGTGTAAAGTGACCACACGTCCCGATTTTGGCGGGACAGTCCCGCTTTTTGAAGGACTGTCCCGCCGATTTTTAAAAATGTCCCGCTTTTTAAAAAACATCTGCATTTCTTACTTTAAATGTACTGTAAAAATATATTACCTATTATTTATTATTATAGTGAATGTAAAGAAATAAAAAAACACATAAAATGCATGCAGAGTAAACTAAATTAGGCGGTGTAACGAGATAGATCGGTGGTGTCGATCATTGTCGTTACGTCTCATCAAGGAATATGTATTGTTAACGGTGGAACAGCTAGCATTAGCTGAATTTGTTTCCATACCATAAACCACAAAGTTTCAGATCAATTGATTGTACGTCGCAAATGATTAAGGCATGGCACGACAAAAAATCTGGACATGCAAGGACTGAATTTGTATTTGTAATGTTTAATCATATTCGTTTTCACAATTGCAGAAAGAATTAGATAAATGCACATTTATGTCCATGTATTATGATGCTTCCAGCCACAGAGATTTAAAATTATTTCTCACAATTGTTAGACTTTTTGATCTAGAAACAGGAATTAAAATTAGAATATTAGATTTTGTTTCATTGCCCGGGTGAAACGTTTTTTTCCCCAATGGCAGATTGCGAACAGTTAGTTTTGTAACAGAATCCATTAATCTAGACTAAGGCCAGACGTTGTGGTCTGTTTATTGTGGAGGCACCTAATAGGTGGGCCACCATTGCCTCCTATGAAGGGACGAATAGTTACAAACATGCCTTCTCCGGGAATCGAACCCAGGCCCTTTGGTATCGCAGTCAAGCTCCCCTAACCACTATACCGTCTAGGCGGTTGCCGGGTGAACTTCACAAATAATTTTTGATTCAATGAGTACTATTTTAAAAAAGAATAATTTGAACAGTAAAATTATTGCCTATAGTGAAGCAATAATTTTAACTTTTTGATGAGGTGTCGTTGGTAAAAAGATAAGTTACTGATGAAAAAATTAAATGTTGGTTGTCTGCAAATGTGGAAATGGACAAGAAATGGACGGAGTTATTCCTTCATTTTAAATAGAATATTCCTTATGAAAATATTTTGAAAATCGTAGAACACACGCTCTTCCTTCCAGGAACAAATGCAGCAACAGAACGTGTTTTTTTCTAGTATCAATAAAATATGGACAATTGAAAAAAAAAAAAAAAAACGCAGTTGAACATTAAAACTTTAAAATCTGTATTAAACCTAAAATATAATTTGAACAATTCACGCGAGAAATTTCACGACATTTCAATAATCAATGGTTGGTTTGGTTTATTCACTTATGGCAAAGCACACTAAAGCTATCTGCGTAAGGGGAGGTATGCCTTCGTGGAGGACTTTCTAAGGGAAACTGACTCGTATACACGTTACACATGGGGAAAACCACGAAAACGCCCATGCAGCCAGCCCGTTTGCGGGATTCGAACCTCTGACCGAATTACCAGTGTTCAGCGACTTCACTGCTCGGCCGCTGGTGGGCCCCTTTTAATAAATGATCCGAATCTGTTGCAAACCATTCTCTCGGATAAAAAGTATAATCGTGAAAGAATCATAATTTTTTAAATAAAATATTAATTAAAAACATAATATTCAAATTGTTTTTTGCAAATATTTTTATAGTTACCAATAGTTAATAAATATATTTGTATATTTATAGACAAGTATATGAATATGTTACTGTGAAAGACCGAAATTGGAGAATGTCGACTTTTACCGGAGAATGTCAACATTCACCAAATACGTCGGTGAAAAACCGAATATTTCTTTACATTCTTGTACATTCGGACCCTCACCGGTGTATGTCGACAATTGCAGATATGCTCTGGTGTAGGTCGAAAAGAGAGGAGTATATGTACACGCTGCCATTCCAAAAGGAAGTGTTCCACAAATAAATGCAGTTGTAAAAGCAAGGGCCTCTTGGGCAATTCAAAGGGTCCTAATAGTTTAAGTACTGCAATAAATAAGATTTGAATCACATATTTGGTAAGTTTATAACTTCTATTATTCTCCTTTTTCATTTTGAATGTACTGTGTGTTTTAAGTTCTTATATTCTTAAGTTCTTACTCTGAGTCTCAAGTGCGTTTTTTCGTGAATGAATTACGGAGAAGGAAATATAATATTCTTATATGTTCAACATTCACCATTAGTACACGGTGAATGTCTACATTCACCGGATTTCGGTGTTTCACCGTAACAAATATATATAATAAAATATATTTTTTTGAATTATTGGTCTGCTTTCATAACAAAATTATAATTCTCATTTCATTCCATTTGTCCCGCTTTGTCTCAATGAAAATGTGGTCCCTTTACTTTAGTGCCAATTTCAGTCGTGGAAAGAGGAAAAAGGTTACGGAGTTATTTCACCCTTCTTATTCCCCTGCTCTTGCGCCAGCAGACTTTTTTCTCTTTCTGCGACTGAAATTGACACCGATTTTCAAGCATCTCCAGACATTCAAGCTGCTGTTACCAAGGAACTTAACACAGTCTCAAAGGAGGACTTTTTCAAAAGTTTTCAGAACTTATATGAACATTGTCAAAAGTGTATTGTAGACTTCGAGAACTACTTTGAAGGACAGTGATGTAATTATGTAAATATATAATACCGTCATTGTCATCAGTCGCCTTACTTTTCGGTCTCACCTTGTAGTAAAGAATTTCATAATTAATTTACTAGAAAAGTATTTGTAGGCAGCCTAATATTGCTTTGGTGGCCGCATGTGGCTCGCGGGCTGCCAGTTTGAAACCACTGTATTAAGACTTAAAATTTTTTAATAGCTCGGTGGTTTTTGTTTTGCCCATGTTTTCTTAATTTTATATAACAAAATTATTACGAAGTAGTCTCTACTGCAGCAAAAGTATTCGCCAATGTTATAAAATGAACAAAATGTTTCTGGTGTCATTCACCATAAAGATTTGTGAAGAATATTGAATATTCATAACAATGTGGTCTTCGAGCAAGCCGCGTTAAATCACATGTGCTCCATATTCCTAAGTTAATTGGTATCTTTTAACGAATCGCTATGACTACACTCAAAATTCTTTATTTTTCAGGGAAACTACGGATACGATTATCATGCCTGTAAGGAAACAGCGTGGGATTTCAGTGTGTTTATATAACACTAGGATTGCATTCATTCTTCGCCCAGGGAAAGGATTATTTCCATGTGAAGCATGGAGAATTGAAGTTCATAAAAGTATGAAAGAAATAAATTAATAAAGAAATAACTTGCACTGTTTAAGACAGCTGCATTAGTTTCCGCATTATTCTTGGTCATATGCGACTAAATATAAAATCGTAGGGCTGATAACAATTGCTGGTTTTAAGTCTAAATTTTCGAGGAAATATAGTGAAAGTATTCATTCGGCATATGTCATTTCCATATTATATTCCGTGCTATTTTGTTTTGAATTGTGTTAATCTCCCAATACATTTCTTACATGGACGCGGCTCACCAGCAGCCGAGCGGTAAAGTCGCTGAACACTGATAATTCGACCTGGGTTTGGTTCTATAGGCGAACGGGCTGGCGATAGGGCGTTTTCGTGGTTTTCCTCATGTGCAGCGTGTATACCAGCCGGTTTCCCTTACAAAGTTCTGCGGGAAGGCATCTTCCTTTCTAAGCAAATAGCCCCAGCGAACTTTATACAGTGAACTTATAATATACGTCTTAATACAGTGGCCAAAACCAAACTAAATTCAAAGATTTGACTCCGAGAAACTAAATTAACACATTGTGAAGGGGAGGAAAGCTACGTAGCAACGAAGTTTATTTTGTTGTGAAGTATACCAAACGGATGCTTCTGAAAATGCTTTGGAGTTTTTGTGCAGAACAAAATTTGTCTGACATGCCAATATAAAGTGAAATGAAATTATTGGCGATCCCTTAAAATCTGACCTATCTCGCTTCTCTGAGAGTAACATCAAACAAATCTTCACGAATTTTATCGTGGTGAGGAATTCGGGATTGCGACTGTCGTCATATGCTTTGGTCACCTTATCAGCTAGAGTAATTCTGACCCAGTTCCTTCTCGGTCTGCAAGGAAAATCATCCACTAACAGACGGGTCCAAGGCTCTTCACTCCTCCGCCCCTACCACTAAGCCACTAGAGAAACTTTCGGTTTGCCGTGTATTTTAAGTGCTCCCGTGCTGCAAAAACAGTACGCACTTGAATGTTCTACGTAATTCGAATCCATACCCAACGAAATAACATCCAATATCATTAAGCATTATATATATATATATATATATATATATATATATATCGATGCTGCACCTTAAAACTGAATCATAGCTCTGTTGCAACTTTTTCCAACCCAATTTTAGTCTCAAATTCTAACGCTGAATATCCCGTCGGATTTCTGGAATGAATTCATTCCTGAAGTCCATTCGTCGTAGAAAATGTTCGTTAGCCGAAATTGTTTTCCCACTGAGAATTAATGTGAAAAGGATTAATCGTTACTGGTCTACATATGATCGCCTAAACTTTGCAACAGTACTTTGGGAGGAAGTTCATAACAAATTATAGAAGTGATGAAAATCATTAAATCCAAGACGGAAAAGTAAATACAATATTAAACCGGAAAAAAATATAAATTTTCTTCTATGAACGTATGAAAGAGTGTATGACATGAAAAACGGTGAAGAGAAAATCAACGTATCTTAATTTTGTGCAAGGCTAATCTTTCAACAAACTTCAGATAACTGTCTTTCTGAGTATCTTATCTTTTCCTTTTTCTGTTAGCGTCATTCGAATCTCCTTGAGTCATCCGACATCCGTTTCACCCAAAATTTGTCCAATGCGGTTTATTGTTTAAATTTTTAAATGTTTCCTAAATGAGAAATGGCAGTCTCGCTGAAAACGCTTTGCTGCAGTTTGCTGTTTTATCAGGGTGATATCCTTACGTGAAACTTTGCACTTTAACCTATTTTTTTTTTTCAAATTTCGCAAAGGAGCTAAGTTCATTTCCCTTCCTCTGAAAACACTATATAAGAGCCTTTCTTTGCCTCTTTTGAATGTATTTCAATTCTCTTCAATTCTCAAATTTTGAGGTCTTATTTCTTGCCGGATAAATTGCCCGGATACGTCGGATTTCGACGAGAAACTCTGTATCTGCAAAGCATGCTCGTCAATATGTAGTGCTGCTTCAAAAAATTATTGCTCGGAAGAACTCCATATGTAGTCATTTTGTAATCCAAATAAAACTTGCCTGTACAATGCAACATACTCATTTGAGTTTTTTTCTTTTGTGTGTGTGTGTGTGTGTGTGTGTGTGTGTGTGTGTGTGTGTGTGTGTGTGTGTGTGTGTGAATGAACTAGTTTTCTAAGAATTTTTATCAAAAGTGCAAGTGGTAGCTTGCATGCGCTCCATGGAGAGAAATGTGTTAACCCCTTGAGGGGTTTTTATTTTAAAAATATTCTGATAATAGCTACAGTTTATTTCATGCTCACTAAAATTTCCGATAATGTTTTACCGCTGGATAAAGACTTCTAGACTGCACAGATTGTTCAGACTAGTAAATTGTAATTTCACAAGCAAAGCGGACTCGTAAGTATTTCATTATATTTATTTAGCATAGCAGTTCATATAATTAAAAAATAATTAACGTCTAAATTGTTTAAAAAGCTTACTTCTGTACATGCAACTATTTTTAAATAATGAAATTTAATAATATTTAGAATGAAAATCTGTTTCTTTGGAAAGACCTAAATCAAGCTTGTTGCCCTAAAAACCGCAGTTTTGCCCAATCGGCTTGAAATAGTTGTATTTGACCTCAAAGTGTATCCCATTAAAGTGACGATGTTTGCCTCTCGACCTTGAATTGCTCACGTCAGGTTTGTTGTGATTTGTCAGGCTTGCATAACGTGCTCCAGGACTATATTTCAGTAGTTAATGTTTAGTCGTCTTGTTATCCCAGTAGCAGCAACTGTTTATATATCTAAGTTATGCCTGTATATATAGGCAGTTATAACTATGAGGTAGTTTTGTTTTTAGAATTTGTTTCAATCTACGGAGTGTTAAAAGATAATTTGATTTAGAAGGATTTGGAAAGAATAGGAAAATGTCCAGGAGAATCTCGGTACTTATAATACTTTTAATAAGTATTTCTCAGTTTTTGATTCGAAATTGATTTTGATGTGAGAAATTTTGTTAAATTCAATTTAATAATTTTTAGGCTGCTGATTAGCTTTGGACCCTTAGTCTTGGCAATGTTCATGTTTTAGAGAAATTCAGTTAACTGCTGTCGATGACCATGTCCGCCGACAGCAGTTAACTGAAGTTAATAGTTTAAAATAATAATTTATGTAACAGTAGTGAAAATAAATATAATTAGAAAATTGATCAAAATAAGACTAGTGATACAGCTGAAATAGAGGATGTAATGCAATTAATATTTTGTGAAGCCTTCACACAAACGCCAATTCTTAGGTTGCGTATATTTTGCATTCTTCAAGATGTCTAGTTTACGGCATTACGGCAAAGGCTCTCAAACTAAGGAAGTTGCCTTCATGGAGATTTTCTAGAGAAAGGTTATGGGTTCTTCAATTCTTTTCAAATGTTTTAAGTTCACGATCTTTCGAATTCTAATAAATTCTTTCTACATATGTTCAATGGATTTTAAATTTTGGAATTCTGAAGAATGTTGTAGAATATGGGTTGCGTGATAAAGCAGCCATAGATAGAGTATTGGCAGTGTGCTTCGGGTCATTGCCCTACGGAAAGTAAGTCATCAGTTTATTTGGCGAGCATTGCTGAGAATCGTTCTTGAAGATATTCCCTAATTCATAATTTTATTCACTGTATTCCTAATAAACCCAGCATTTTCCCTACCGTTATTCGACATATGTCCTTACAGTTCGCTTTCTGTCCCTCATGTCTTACAGTGGCTTTAAAGTTTTCGTACAACTAACTCATCTCTGGCTCTTCTAAATTAATTTCTTGCAACTGCAGAGAAACAAAATTTGCTTTTGGCTGAAGGCATCGCATTCGATTTGAAACGTACTTCTCCCTTCCAAATATTCTTTTGCGAAGGCAGATTTCATTAGTAATTTTACTAATTTATATCTTCTAGCTACTCTTGATTTATAAGCAACGCAGTGAATAAAAGTTATAGCCGATTTAAGATGAATCCTCCTTGTTTAGATTTTTCTTTCAGCTTTATTACAATTTCATTTGAAAATTTTAGAAGTTTTCCTTCCAAAGTACTCGAACTTCAATCGTACAACACTTAGTGAGCCATGTCTTGCAGTGCCCTGATATCTGATTTCTTGACCGTTGCCCCCGGGATGCATGAGCATATACCCTGTACAAGTGTTGTAGCAGGACCTCCGGTGTTTAGTTTCCAAGCGAACTTAATACTCATTTTATCGACCCACTCAAAGGATGAAGAGCTGAGTCAACCTTGCCCACCCCTAGGATCGAAACCCGGATCCTGTGGTGCTGCTGCGTGACGCGGTAGCCACTGCGCCACAGGCTTCTTCCCGAAGTACAATAGCTAAAAACAAAAATCGAACACTTTACAAAGCGATTTTCAGCATAAAAATAATTTAAATTGTAAAATACCCTTTATAAAATCAATATTCGAATGCATATTTTTCATAAACTAAACAATCGCTATTAATTTTTTAAGGCCCACCAGCGGCCGAGCGGTAAAGTCGCTGAACACTGGTAGTTGGGTCCGAGGTTCGAATCCCGTGAACGGGCTGGCTGCATGGGCGTTTTCGTGGTTTTCCCCATGTGTAACGTGTATACGAGCTAGTTTCCCTTAGAAAGTCCTCCACGAAGGCATCCCTCCCCTAAGGCAAATAGCCCTAGTGTGCTTTGCCATAATTAAATAAACCAAACCAATTCAGTTTTTAAACTCCGAAATAGTGAATACTCAGTAAAAGTCGGATATCTTGATATTGTGATTTTTCTTATTGAAAATGCAAAATTTCAAACTTTTTAATGTGCTTGTGAGTACTGATATATCAGATTAATTTGTTCTTCGCCTGCTAATTTTCGCTTTGGTGATTAAGAATGGGAAGGCAATTTGGACAAACGTCTTTGGAAATTCGTGAGCTTATAAAGCATTTTAAGGATGAGTTCTCAATAAGAAATATTGAAATACAGTAAAACAAATTTCAACAATACATGACGTAATAAAGCCATTTAAGACAAACACCACCGAAAATAGGCCAAAATCCAGCAAACGA